CGCGCCGGAGCCTCCGTACCTCTGCACTTTACTTTCGTAGCTCCTCTGAGTCTGTGTGCTCTTCTCTTTCCTTCTAGTTGTAGAATTTCCACTCAGCCAGCCTTCCTGTGGTTCTGGATGATGACCGTTCTGTCTTTTAGTTGTATTTTTGAAGTTGTTGTCGGAGGCAGCAATTTCCGGTGTTTTCCTATGCCGCCATCTTGGTCCCCTCTAGTCTATAGCACATCTTAATTCAGACTAGTTCTATTTCAAGACTGCAATAGCCCAACATGGCTTATGGCTACCATATCAGACAGCACAGACCACTTTCAGGGGGTCCGTGGTAGAAATTCATGTAAGGTCGAGGGTTCCCCCTCCCCCACCCCAAAACAGCTGTCATATCGTGTCCATCTACCAGGACTTGGCCATGGTCCCTGGGCTGGCATCACTTGGGAAGGGTGTGTCAATGTTTGCGGGGAGGAAGAGACTGGCCTGACTGCCACTGATCGTGCCAGGAGCCTGCCACTGCTGGCTCGGCCCTTTGTCCCCACCTTAGGGCTCAACCCAATCCCTTTTCATTTTCTGGAAGTAAGGGTGTTATGAGACCCTCTGGCACAGCTGGGAAGAAGAGCATCAAGCCAGGGCTGTGGCGTGCCCTCACCTGCCTGGTTTCTGGTCTAGAGCCCCTCCCTTGGGAGCAGGACCCACCTCCTCGAAGGTCAGCTGATGCAGCAAGGTAAGCAAAATTATCCAGACTGATGACGTCAATGATGGGGCTCACCACGCGGGTGTGGTCCTAGGAGAGAAAAGGTGAGATGGTGTGAGGCCAGGGACTCTATGAATAAAGGGCCAGGTGCTGCTCTGGGAGGAAGGTCTCTCCGAGGCCTAAGGCCATGTACTCAGCATTTCCTACAGAACAGTTCAGGCTCCTGGGCGAGGTCCTTATCATCACATCCAAGCTCCTGGAAGGTCCCACCTGGGTCCCAAGGCCCAATGCTCTCCCAGCCTCTTCCTCTCATGTCATGTTGAGCCCTGCTGGAATCTCACCTCCTCACTGAAGCTTTCCCTGATTGCTCCAGGCTGAGGATTTCTTCCTCTTTAAAGCTGCTCTCACAATTACAGTCTAGACAATTCCCAGGACAGTGAATCACATGCTGCCTGAGGTAGTTCTTCTGTCGCTGGTTTGAACTGTTGTTTTATTCATCGTTGTCCACCTTTGTACATGTTTGGGTTGGGTCTTCCCAACTGGGCCGCCAGCAGCTTGGGGGCAGGGACCCTGTGTTCCGTGGGTGTCACTCCTTTCATGCTGCATCCATTTCAAGGTCAGACTTACTACTCCCTTCATCACCTCCAAAACGTCGGTGGGTAATGCCAATTTTACTAAAGTTCCTTTTTAAAAAAAACCCTCACCCAAGGAGTGAGGATATTTTATTTTCCCCAGTGATTTTAGAGAGAATGAGAAGGGGGGGTAGTAGGGGGGGAGAGGGAGAGAAAGAGAGAGAGAGAGAGAGAGAGGGAAATGTTTATGTGATAGATATATATTGATTGGTTGCTGCCCACAGGCACCCCAACCTGGGACTGGGAATGGAACCTGTGACCCTCTGGTGCGAAGGCCAACACTCTAACCATTGAGCAACACTGGCCAGGGCTAAAGTTCTTTTTATTGGGGGGTGGGGGGAGGGTAGTGGTGGTGGTGAATTGTCATATAGCACATGTGAAGCTTAGCGCCCTCTATCAGCCCTCTGTGGAGGGAATGGGACAGAGCCCCTTCTTTCTCTCCTTTCTCACACTCTGCACTGACCCTGAAAATCCTCTTGTCTGAAACTTGGAATCTAGCCCCGCCCCTCAGTTCACACCCCATCTCAGGACGACACAAGCCTGGGAGGTGGAGGATCAGGGAGACCATCCATGGTTTCTCTGTGGGGCCTCACCGTATCCTTCTTAGAGACTTTTATATACTGAGATATAATTCCCATTGTTACAGCAATTTTATTAGATATAATTGATATACCGTAAAACTCACCATGTAAAAGTGTGAAATTCAATATTCAAAATTTTTATTTATTGAATTTTAGAAAGAGAGGAAGGGAGAGAGAGAAACATCGATTTGTTATTCCACTTATTTAGGCATTCATTGGTTGGTTCTTGTATGTGCCCTGACCAAGGATTGAACCCACACCCTTGACGTATCCGGATGTAGCTCCAACCAACGGAGCTACCCGGCCAGCGCTCAGTGGTTTTCAGCATAGTCACAAGGTTGTGCAACCACTGTCTAATTCCAGAACATTGTCATCACCCCCACAAAAAGCCCTGTACCCATTAGCAGTCACTCCCCTCCAGCCCCTGACAGCCACTAATCCACTTTCTATTTCTATGAATGTGTTTATTCTGGGTATTTCACATAAATGCAATCATATAATATTTGTTCTTTAGTGACTAGTTTCTTTTTCTTAGAATCAGGTTTTCAAAGTTCATCCATGTTGTAGTACGTACAGTGCCTCATTCTTTTGCATGGTTGAGTGACATTTCATTGTATGGATATACCACATGTTGTTTACCATTCATCTGCTGTTTCCATGTTTTGGCTATTCTGAATAATACTGCTCTGAACACTTGTGCACAAGTTTTTGTGGGGATGTTTTCATTTCTCTCGGGTTATGTCCAGCAGTGGAATTGCTGGGCCGTATGGTAACCCTGTTTAAACTTTGGAGGAACTGCCAGACTGGTTTCCATAGGGCTGCACTGTTGGACATTCCCACCACCGATGCGTGACTATTTTTGTCCCCATCCTCACCAGCACGTGTTACTGTCCATCTTTTTTTATTATAGCTGTCCTATTAGGTATCTCACTGTGGTTTGGACTTGCATTTCCCTAATGACTGAAGAATGTTGAGCATCTTTTCATGTGCTTGTTGGCCACTGTGTATCTTCCTTGAAGAAATGTCCATTCAAATCCTGTGCTCATTTTTAAATTGGGATGCTTGTCTTTTGATAGTTGAGTTGTAATCACCTCAGCTGTCCAAATCCTCCCCATTCTAGAGAACAGTAGGCACATAGGAGGGGCCCCCTGCCCTCATCTCTCCTTGAGAACACTGCTCTCTCCTCCCTCCTTCTCTGGCTTCCCAGCCTAACCCACCCACCCCCACCCCTCCCTGCCTCCCCGGGAGGAAATCAACCATGCCCTTTTCTGTAATACCTTTATAGCTCACTCAGGCTTTCCTCCCGTTTAATTCTCACAGCAACCCGGTGGGACAAATATTACAATTATCCCCATTTTCAGATGAGAAGCTCAATGAGGTGGTCACTCAGGAGGCAGCAGACCATTTAGGCTCCTACGCTGCCTGCCCAACGTCAAAGACGGTTCACACACCCTCACGCCAAGAACCTGGCGGGCACATCCCAGAGCCAGAGCTCCCCCGGGGACGGACAGACTCACCTCCTTCACCCGCTGCAGCAGGGGCTGCAGCCACTCGGTGTTCACCTCACAGTGGCTGTCCAGAAAGGTGAGGACGGCGGCTGCGGCCACGTCCGCGCCGCGGACTCGGGACCGGATCAGCCCTGCGGGGGAAGCGGAGGGTGGTGCTGAGCCCATCTGCTGCCCAGCCATCCCACAGAGTCTCGGGGCGCTCCGCCCTCAGGAGCGCAGGTTTCCGAGTCACTGTGATTGAACTTTACTTTGTACTTGTTTATTTCCTCTTTTTCTTTCTCTCGTCCATCCAGTAAGCGTCATTACTCCAAGGCCATTCTCAGAATGCCCTCCGTGTGCTAGACACTGTGCCGGGCTCTGGGGACCCGCTGGTGAACAGTCAGAGTTCAGGGAATGGAAATTGCAGTAAAGTGTGGTTTGACACCAAAGGAGAACCAGGAACCAAAAGCCTTTCCCCACCTCCGGGAAACCCACGGCTGTGCCCTGCAGCGCACCATCATGTGTGACGTGGAGGGACTCCTCTGCACGAGGACAGGCTGGAGTTAGCACGCGCCCCCTCACTCACCTTAAGCATGTTATTTACCTGCTCTGAGCCTCAGTTTATCACCTTGAGATTCAGAGAGAGCACAACCCCTGCCTGTCAGGGGAGTGCCTGGCGCCCAGGAGGCCTATATGTGCTAGGTTCTGCCCTGCGTCCACCCTTTTCCCCACAGGCTCGCCCACGGCTCACCGACAGTCGGACAATAGCCCGGTGAGGGGTGGGGAATTACCTGGTCAGGAGAGAGGAGGCCCAGCTGGCCCAGCTATAAAGCACCTAATTTAAACCTCCTTAATTTAATTACATAAATTCACATCTATGTTGGGCAAAACCCCAGGGAATAGCATATTCCCACCTAAAGGCACCTCACAACTCTGTATAGTAAGTCCTCACTTAATGTAGTACATAGGTTCTGTGACTTTAAGTGAAATGACATATAACAAAACCAGTTTTTTGCCATAAGCAAGAACTAAGTTCCTATAGCAACTCATCAATGTTATAATGAAACCACATTATTTGAGGACCTACTATACTTAGAGATTTCTCTCTCAAGGTCCATTCCATTGTGAAGGTCCCCTCAGCCTGACTGGTCTTTCTTAAATATGCCCATCACATAAACCCATCTCTCTCTCTCTCTCTCTCTCTCCCTTTCTCTCTCTCTCTCTCTCTCTCTCTCCCTTCTCTCTCTCCTCTCTCTCTCTCTCTCTCTCTCTCTCTCCCCCCTCTCTCTCTCTCTCTCTCTCTCTCTCACACACACACACACACACACACACACGCATACCTATCTTCAGTGGCTCCCTACCATCTGCCTTATCAAGTCTAAATGCCTTTCTCTGGCTTAAGGTCCTCTGTCATCTACCGTCACTCCGCCCACTCCCCCTGCTGACCTGCCGGATTCTCCTGGGAAGGGAGAGTGAGCGGAAGGAGGTGAAGAGGCTGGGCTTTGGGGTGATCCCTCTCCCTGGGTTGGGATCTGGGCTCCTCTATTCATCCCCTCCCTGGGGAAATTACTGAACCTCCTCAAACCCCAGTTTTCTTATCTACAAAATGAGTGTTATGGGCCATTATGAGGACAGACGGTGAGAGAGCAGAAAAAGTGAACGCCTGCGGCAGGGTGAGCGCTCGGGAGGAGGGCTACTAGCATTCCCAGTGTGTCTCGGCCGACCCTCGCCTCTGCCTGCAGCATCCCGGAGCCTGGAAAGCCCTCCCTTGCTCGCTGTCTCACAGCGCCCCTCAGCCAATCAAGGCCCACTCCCTGGTCACCCGCCTTCCTCCGGCACCCTCTCCTCTGATCTCCATCCTAATAATTATAACCAGCCTGTTGCTGTGAATTCTGACCCCAAGGGTAGGGACCACGTTTTAGACTTCTTTTGTGTCCCCCAGAGAGCAGTCTTATGCTGTCGATGCCCAAACACCTCTTGGTTAGAAATGAGTTCCGTCTGCTTTATTCTGCCTTTGACTGTCCCGAAGCATTTCTATGTGGCCTATCTCATTTAACCTTACAATCACCGTGCAAGGCGGAAAGGGGACTGTTACTATCCCCATCTCTCAGTAGAGCAACTTGCCTACAGTCATGCTGGGACAGGGGCGGACCTGGGAAACAGGAGGCTCCTTCTAGGGACTTTGGTTCTCGCCACAGGAATGCAGCAGGGCCATGCTGGTTTGCATGACACAGCACCCAAAGGGAGTGGGGCGTGCAGAGGTCTAGGCCAACAGGGGTCTGCGGTGGCACCAGGGTCCAAGAACTTACCTTCCCTCCGGTCGTTGCGCAGGCACTTGACCTTGGGGATCCTGGTCAGGAGCAGACAGTCTTCCGCTGAGGGTGGAGAGAAGGAAGCTCATTCAGATCACAGGTGGTTTGGCCACCACTGGAACTGCCCAGGCCCAGGGAAAGGGCTGGGGGTGGGCGGCATGGAGGAGCACAGTCATCTCCAGTAGCCCTGGGTCCCACTCCAGGCCAGACTAACTGCCTGTACTTATGGCTTTGCCCCCAGGGACGCCAGAGAGCGCCAGCACCATCACCAGTCTAACATCTGTGGAGCTAGACTGACAGGACAATCTTTTCCCTGTGACAGTTGTAATAAGGAAGGAGGCTGCTGATGCTTCAAATGTTTAAAAATGTCATCTCGCCATAACCGGTTTGGCTCAGTGGACAAAGCGTCGGCCTGCGGACTGAAGGGTCCCAGGTTTGATTCTGGTCAAGGGCATGCACCTTGGTTGAGGGCACATCACTGGTAGGGGGTGTGCAGGAGGCAGCTGATCAATGTTTCTCTCTCATTGATGTTTATAACTCTATATCCCTCTCCCTTCTTCTCTGTAAAAAATCAATAAAATATATTCTTAAAAAATGTCATTCTCATTGGTGTTCCATCAAAACAACACCACTCTTTCCCCCTCCTTGCGGTACTGGGAAGGGAACTTAGAAAAGACTAAAGACTCCGGGGGTTTGGGGGTGGGGGGGCAGAGGCCAGCAGGTGATGGTCAGGGCAACCTCAAGAGGGCTCGCCTCGGCATTCTGGGGAGATGGGGGTTTGGAGGGTGCAACGAAAGAAGGTGGATACTTACGATCTGAACTGAAGTCATCCACTAAAATGATCTCCTGGATCAGGCTGGCAGGAGTTCGGTTCAGGACACTGGAGCAGTGACGGGGACAGAGGAGCCCCGATTTAGGGGCCACTTCTGTTTACTTCTCCCGGCCATGGGGCTCCCCCCACCCAGCTCGAGGGCCAGCACACTGGCCATGGGCAGGTGCTTGCAAACCTTTGGGCCCTGATCAATGAATGAGCAGTACCGTGTTCCTCAGGCTCTGCTAAGGGCCCGGCTGACCTCCTGTCTGGCCCCTCAGGCACCTGGAACCCCCCTGGGTCGGGGGTGGATATTGCCCTAGTTTGGTGGTTGGGGCAGGACCTGCAGCTGCGCTGGCTGCCTGTCCAGGGGCCACCCCAGCTGGACGGAGCTACTGCCTGGAAGGCTATTGAGGCTTGTTCAGGCCTCATGAGTCAGGAGAAGTATTTTCAGGAAGCCCCCCGACACTTTCCCTCCCATCACCCCTACCTTCCTCTACTCCCTGGGAAAGGAAACCCAAGCTTCTTTTATCCCTGGAATACCACTGGGCATGCCTTTTGGAATCCTATTCTCACTAAGTTCATTAAAGAAGCAGGGTGGGTAGGAGTTAGACTTGACCACAGGGCCAGCTCAGGAGGACAGAGGGGCACCTGTCTCCGAATCACTGACAGGCGCCTACTGAGCTGGCATCATCCACCTGAGGCCTCACGTCCAGCCCTGCCTCTCCCCATTCCTGACCCTGAATTTCTGCCCTCCTCCTAGGAACCTGGCCTGTGTGGGACTGTGCATCTGCTAACAACTGGACCTCTGGGGTGTCCCCGACCCTGATTCACCAGCCCCGGCTTCTCAGAAGGCAGGAGCCCCCTCTAAGGGCCCTCTGGTCTTCACCCGTCTGGCCACAGCACCCCATCTCAATGTCCTCCCCCACCTAGGGCTCAGCAGACCACCGGGGCCTGGGGAGCAGGCCGCCGAGAGAGGTCCCGAGGCGGGGCTCACCTCTTCACCGTGCGCAGCAGGGTGGATCGGGCTTCGTTGTGGAAGGTGATGATGACGCTGGTGGCCGGCAGGTCCGAGGAGTAGGACAGGGATGGACAACTGGGAAGGGAGCAGAGAGGTCAGAGGGCAGCTGTGGGAGTGTCCTCAGGGCAGGTTTTGAGGCTTGTCTTTGTCCAGCCTGCTGCCCCCCGGAGTACCTCTGTGGGACAGAGAAATAAAGCCTGCAGCAAGGCCGTGGGTCTTGCCCTTTCACACCCACACTCCACCCAGCCTGGAGTCCTCAGAGGGACCCCACAGGTGGGGGACCTTCACCAAGGTTCCGGCCATGTGCAGGCACTGCCCCAGGCCCCAGGCCTGGTCCCACAGACAGAACTCCCTGCCGATGGAGCAGCCAAGAGACAAGTCCCCCCCCCCACTTTTGTTTGTCTCTGACATCCTGCAGCTTCTTCCTTCGTACCCCCCACCCCCAGTGACATTTGGTAGGATCTGGAGAGCAGTCACCCCCAGCCTGCTGTGCTGTGAATTCCTCCCTCTCACTGCCCATCCTAACAGCTGCCTGCTGACACCGGGCAGGGAGCAGCCTCGCCTCGCCTCCGCCTCTGCCTCTCCGGGGCTCCTGAAGGAAACTGGCCTCTGAGAAGACAGCAAAGGCAGCTCCCGCCAGCCCACTCCCTCCCCAGCTGCTCTTGCTCGCCATCCCCAGACACCACATTTTTGGCCCTTGGCTCCCCCTACCCCCCACCCCCACCATGAAAAGAGAATGAAAACACTCAAACACTCCACTCCTGCCAGCCTTCATCTGTCTTTCTGCGAAGGCGTTATTCACACTCCTGGGGCCTGGGGAAGGCGGCCACGGGGCTGGTTTTCACGGCAATCTTCTTTATTACAATTGCTCTCTGACTATTCCAGCAGTGACTATTTTTTCATTACAGCATGCATTCCACTGACAGCAGCTTACAGCCAAATTCCCAGGCCCATTTCTTGCAGAGCAGATGGGAGGCCCACCAGCCTGGGGCCCCCATGGGATAAATCCTGAGAGGCGGCAGAATAATTCTCCTTGAGGGGGAA